CACTTCCCATCATAAGTTTGGCAACTCAAACCCCTTTGAATCACTTATTAAAGCCTGTTTATTTTTGGCATGTGAAATCGAAATATCTGAAATATGGTAATAAGGAATATAATCAAGGTTTAAACATTGACAGACTTTGATATGCTATCATATAATAACTTCCAGTTGCCAAACTTATGGAGGAGGTGCACATGCTTTATAGTATAGGGTCCATGTAAACTGCAACAAGACTCCTATTGTTGCTGCAAATAATTAGCTATATAATAACAAATTGTAACACCAAATGATTAAGAGTCAGAGTTTCTCAGAGCCTGGTTGCAGTTTGCACACTTCGTATTGTATATATGTCATATATTGTTTAGTTGTAGTCTGTAGAACATAACAAGATGTGAATGTTTTGTTTATGTAAAAATAATACATCTTGTCCATAGGCTTAGCAAGGGGGTGCAATGGGATCGCATCCCCACCCCCTCCCCCCCATAACCAATAAAAATATAACCATGAGATAGAAGAAGAGTTTTAAAATGCTTTTTATTTTAAGCTTCTAGCCCTGTTTTGAAGGAAGTTGAATCAAGATTTGTAAAATTCAAGATAGATCTTAATTTTTCGCTTTTTTATGCCACAGTTGCATCCCCCTGACTGTAAACCGAAAAATTTTGGCGATCAAACCCCCACTGAACCAAAGCTAGCTACGTCCCTATTGTTCCTAAGGAATTGGAGATAATGTTTCACTGCTAGTCTAGCACCCGATACTTCACATAGTATCAAGGGAATTGATTGTACTTTGTACAGGAAACAATTGTATCCCTGGCTGACCAAAACAGAGAAATAGATTTTTGAAATCTCAATATTGGAATCAATTTCACTTTCACGTTATCTTTTAGCATCTCTTTCAACCAGTCAAGTTTTCTTTATATTTATGATAAACTCTTTCTGATGTCATAAGTCATCACCTCCATAGTAAGTATTTAATGGAGCTTATTATCATCTTCGACTTCCATGTTATTATACAGTTGGAGCAATTGAAACCTTGAGAATCAAGATGGCTAATTATCAGAATTTTCAATCTAAATGGGTTCTAATTTGCTTCTACCACCTTGATTATGCTTTGTGCAGATGACTTATTATTCCTGGAGCAGCATGATCGACAGTAAGTGTTACGCTGTATATGGCATACATTCATGGTTGCGCATGCAGTATT